TCCCATCTGTCATCCTTCCTTGCTTCCTCCTTGGCTTCTTTTCCCCTTTCTCTATTCCTTGCTTTCCCTTCCTTTGTCCCTTTTTTTCTTCCTGGCTTCCTTCTTTCCCTCCACTTTCTTTTTCTGTCCTTCCTTTCGTTTTCCCTTTTTGTTCCTTTTCTTCCCATCTTTATCTTTCCTCCCTTCCCCTCATACCTTTTTCTCTTCCCTTATTTTTTCTTCCCTCCTTTTTCTTTCTTTTCCTTTCCTTTTCTCTCCTACTGAAATCACCAAGGGTCACTTCACCCTAGGAGCAGCCAATCCACTTCTTTCCTCTTCCTTTGCTCTGAAGTTTTTTGTTTTTTGTTTTAGTTCAGATCTCTCCATTATTTTAAGTTGAAAAATGAAGACTCTGCGTGCCAAGTTCGTTCCAGATCCATCAAGCCACAGAGGAACCTTTGAGGTACAAATAAACATAAATAGATAGATAGTCTAAATGTCTACTTTCAGCTTGATCTGTTGGATCAGCTGCTTGCTATGCAGGGCAATAAAGATTATTATTATTATTATTATTATTATTATTATTATTATTATTATTATTATTTGAAACACAACAAGATGAGTCCACAGCAAACAAGATCACTCTGCTGGCTGTATTATTATTATTATTATTATTATTTAATAAATATTATTTTTATAAATAAATATTTAATATTTAAAAATATAAAGATTTGATTTGATTTATTATTATTTATATATAATATTATATTATAATTTATATAATATAATTTATTATTATTATTATTCAGCTCTAGTTAAAGCAGGTGGGTGATGGTTTATGCCACTAAACAAGGCAGGATTAAGGCAGTACTCCACAAAGGAACAATAACGCTCTCCCCCTCTTTCTTAAAGCCTATTCCTCCAAAATTGCCTAAAATGGACATATTCACGTATTAAAGCCTATTCTGTCACACTCCGGCTCTTTTATGCAGAGAGAGAAAAAATCCCTGGCGCGTTCTATTTCTAAAGGCAACATTTTCCCCAGATTTCCTTCTTCCCAATCGAACAGAAGAAAACCCACTAAACAAATGCATTTTTGTGTGGGGGTGCCTTCGGTGGGAGGCTAATGTTGCTCATTGCAATGCTGCCAAGTTATTTGATGGTCGGAGTCCTGATTTCCATCACAAACACACATAACCTTTTGCAAAGGTTTTGCATAGTCGGAGCCAGACGAAGTGACATTTTATGGTCAGATAGAGACCCAGATCAGTCTGATCTCTTTGCAAGACGAAGGAAATTTCGTTGGAATTATAATCAATCTCTTCCCATTTCCAGGCAAACCCTATATTAACCTCTGAGGATGCCTGCCAGAGATGTGGGCAAAACGTCAGGAGAGAATGCTTCTGGAACATGGCCATACAGCACAGAAAACTCACAGCAACCCAAACCATCTATCTATCAACACATAATAAAAAGTTAAAATATGTATGTGGCTGGGGTGTCCACTTGCACAGACAAGCTCCCACTTCCACAAACAGCTATAGCTCCCACTACTCAGGAGACACCAATGGCCCTCCTCCCAATGATATTGCGGTTATAGAGAACACCATAAACGTATCCAAGAGCCCTGCCAATGTCCTCCACAAACACAATCCTGCTCACCAACCAAGTTAAGGTTTTCATGTGGGGACAATTCCATCCTAGATTTCATGTGTTTCCTCCACCACAGACATCCCAGTGTTTCATCCCAGAGATCTCCACTGGTGTGGAATTTGCACAACCCCGCCCACTGCCTCTCCCTTAACCCTTTCCTATTCTTTTCTATGGCACACAGCAAGCAGAGGAACTGATCAGCAACTGAAGACACTACAGAGGTTTGGGGAGAATTCACCATGATTTATAAGTGTCGGTACTGGGATGTATAGTTCACCTACAATCTTTCTGGCATTGGAGAAGGATTGGCTGGTGACTTCTGGAACAGCACTTTGGTTTTCTCGATGTTCAGTGACAGGCTGAGCTTCCCGTATGCTTCTGCAAAGGTGTTTAGAGTGGCTTGTAGGTCTTCTGAATGCACACAGCCTACGTTGTCATCAGCATTCTGGAGTTCTATGACAGATGTTGTAGAGTGACCTTTAGGTTTTCTTCTGAATGTGCATAGACTATGTTATCATCGGCATATTGGAGTCCTATAACTTGTTGTGACCTTGCTTTTGGCTTTCAGTCTGCTGAAGTTACCAAGGTGCTTGATTATAAAGCTATTGTCCTCCCAACCCTGCTGTATGCCTGCAAAACGTGGACTGTCTACAGACATCACATGCAACTCCAGGAACGATTCCATTAGGCATAGACTATGTTGTCATCGGCATATTAAAGTTCTATAACAGATGTTCTGGAAAAAATCAACTTATATCCCCATACCAAAAAAGGGAAATGCGAAAGACTGCTCCAACTTCTGTACAGTGGCCCTTATTTCTCATGCCAGTAAGGTAATGCTCAAGATCCTGCAAGGAAGACTCCAGCAATACATGGAGCGAGAGTTGCCAGATGTTCAAGCTGGATTTAGAAAAGGCAGAGGAACGAGAGACCAGATTGCCAATATCCGCTGGATAATGGAGAAAGGCAGGGAGTTTCAGAAAAACATCTATTTTTGCTTCATTGACTATTCTAAAGCCTTTGACTGTGTGGATCATAATAAATTGTGGCAAGTTCTTGGTGGGATGGGCATACCAAGCCACCTTGTCTCTCTCCTGAGGAATCTGTACAAGGACCAAGTAGCAACAGTCAGAACTGACCACGGAACAACAGACTGGTTCAAGATTGGGAAAGGCGTACGGCAAGGCTGCATACTCACCCAACCTTTTTAACTTGTATGCAGAACACATCATGCGATGTGCGGGGCTTGATGAATGCAAGGCTGGGGTGAAAATTGCTGGAAGAAACATTAACAACCTCAGATATGCAGATGACACCACTCTGATGGCCGAAAGCGAGGAGGAGCTGAGGAGCCTTCTAATCAAGGTGAAAGAAGAAAGCGCAAAAGCCGGGTTGCAGCTAAACATCACAAAAACCAAGATTATGGCAACAAGAATGATTGACAACTGGGAAATAGAGGGAGAAAATGTGGAGGCCGTGACAGACTTTGTATTTCTAGGTGCAAAGATGACTGCAGATGCAGACTGTGGCCAGGAAATCAGAAGACGCTTCCTTCTTGGGAGGAGAGCAATGTCCAGTCTCGATAAAATAGTAAAGAGTAGAGACATCACACTGGCAACAAAGATCCATTGCCTAGTCAAAGCCATGGTATTCCCTGTAGTCACCTACGGATGTGAGAGCTGGACCTTAGGGAAGGCTGAGCGAAGGAAGAGAGATGCTTTTGAGCTGTGGTGTTGGAGGAAAGTTCTGGGAGTGCCTTGGACTGCGAGAAGATCCAACCAGTGCATCCTCCAGGAAATAAAGCCCGGCTGCTCATTGGAGGGAAGGAGACTAGAGACAAAGTTGGGATGGACTCTACCATAACTCAAGGCAGGCCTCAAAACCTGGCTGAAGAGAGGCAGGCCTGCTTTTTGGAGAGAGAGAGAGAGGGAGAATGTATTGTCGAAGGCTTTCATGGCTGGAATCACTAGGTTCTTGTGGGGTTTTCGGGCTATAGAGCCATGTTCTAGAGGCATTTCACCTGACGTTTCGCCTGCATCTATGGCAAGCATCCTCAGAGGTAGTGAGGTCTGTTGGAAATAGGAAAATGGGTGAGACCAGGGTGGGACAAAGAGCTCTCTGCTGAAGCTAGGTGTGAATGTTTCAGCTGACCACCTTCATTAGCATTTGAAGACCTGGCTGAGCCTGGGAAAATGTTCTGTTGAGAGGTGTTAAGATGTGCCTGGTTGTTTCCTCTCTGCTGTTTTGCTGTTGTAATGTTTACACAGAGAAGCCATTGAAATCCACAAGCATGTGGACAATTTCAACAGAAAGGAGGACATGAAAATGAACAAAATCTGGCTACCAGTATTAAAAAACTCTAAAATTGCAACAGCAAAAACAGCAGAGAGGAAACAACCAGGCACATCTTAACACCTCTCAACAGAACATTTTCCCAGGCTCAGCAGGCCTTCAAATGCTAATGAAGTTGGTCAGCTGAAACATTCACACCTAGCTTCAGCAGAGAGCTCTTTGCCCCACCCCAGTCATTCCACAGATATATAAACCCATTTTCCTATTCCAACAGACCTCACTACCTCTGAGGATGCTTGCCATAGATGCAGGCGAAACGTCAGGAGAAATGCCTCTAGAACATGGCCCTATAGCCCGAAAAAACCCACAAGAACCTAAACAAATTCATAGCGATGAAGAAGCTTTTAAACAGAGGCTGGATGGCCATCTGTCAGGGGTGCTTTGAATGCAATATTCCTGCTTCTTGGCAGAATGGGGTTGGACTGGATGGCCCATGAGGCCTCTTCCAACTCTTTGATTCTATGAGGAAGAACTTCCTGACTGTGAGAGCCGTTCAGCAGTGTAACTCTCTGCCCCGGAGTGTGGTGGAGGCTCCTTCTTTGGAAGCTTTTAAACAGAGGCTGGATGGCCATCTGTCAGGGGTGATTTGAATGTAATATTCCTGCTTCTTGGCAGAATGGGGTTGGACTGGATGGCCCAGGAGGTCTCTTCCAACTCTTTGATTCTATGATTCTAAGAAAGAGAATAAAATTGGGGCAATCACACATCAATGGCAATGATGATATTATTATTACAATCCATACATGGTATGGTAGAGGATGGACTCTACCATAACTCAAGGCAGGCCTCAAAACCTGGCTGAAGAGAGGCAGGCCTGCTTTTGGAGGAGAGAGAGAGCGGGAGGGAGAGACTCTTCCCCCCCGCCCTTCCGTCTCCATGGCAACCTCTGCCTGAGATGCTGGTTTGGCACCAGCAGGGAAAAGGAGGCGGGCGAGGGAGGACTCGCTTTCCCGTGATGCCCCGCGCCGCAAGCCGGAAGCGGCTCCTCCTCGGCGAGGCGCCTTAAAGCGGAAGCGCGGAGCCGGGCGGGGCAGCAGTTCCTTTTCGGGCCTCGCTTGACGCGCAGACGGGCTCGGAGCCGCCGCCGAGGAAGACGCAGGAGCCCCCTTCGCCGCCGGAGCCACCCCCAAGGCCCAGAGCAGCCTCCAGAACCCGCCGACAGTCCCTCGCCCTGCCTGCTTGACTTCCAGCGCCATGGTAAGGCTTGCGGCTCCTCCTCGCCGCCCCCCTGCCTCGCCGCCCGGCCGCCATCTTGTCACCCGGCCGCCATTTTGTGGGGGACTCGTGGGGGATGGAGCCTCGGGAAGGCCGCCTTTGGCGCCCCCCCACGCCCCTGCCACTGAGAAGCTTTGCCCCCCTCTTCTGGGCCTGTGAGGGTCCCTGCTGAAGCCCAGCCCCTCTTGAGTTCCTCTAGAAGCACTCTCTTCTGACATTTCGCCCACGTCTATGGGAGACATCCTCTGAGGTTGTGGGGCCTGTTGGAAACCTGCGACTGAGAAGCTTTGCTCCCCCTCTTCTGGGCCTGTGAGGGTCCCTACTGAAGCCCAGTCCCTTTTGAGTTGCTCCAGAAGCACTCTCTCCTGACATTTCGCCCACAGCTATGGGAGACATCCTGTGAGGTTGTGGGGCCTGTTGGAAACTAGGCAAGTGGGGTTTCATATATCTGGAAATGCTGGGCCACTCTTGACAACCAGACTACAAAGAGAAGCCATTAATCTCCATGTGGACAAGTGTCAACAGAAAGGAAGAAATGATGGAAATGAGCAAAATTTGGCAACTTCATTAACAAAAGAATAACACCAAAAACAAAACAGCAGATTTTCAGACAGGAAACGATCATTGGTCAGCTTGATTAGCATTGAATAGCCTTGCAGCTTCCAAGCCTGGCTGCTTCCTGCCTTGGGGAATCCTGTGGTGGGAGGGTACCAGTATTTTTTTAAAACTCCTCTAAAACAGTGGTCTTATTAACAAAAGTATAACACCAAAAACAAAACAGCGGATTTCCAGACAGGAAACAATCAGGGAAATTGGTCAGCTTGATTAGCATTGAATAGCCTTGCAGCTTCCAAGCCTGGCTGCTTCCTGCCTTAGGGAATCCTGTGGTGGGAGGCTACCAGTATTTCAAAAAACCCCTCTCAAACTAAGGCCCGGGGGCCAGATATGGCCCTCTAAAGTCACCTTCTTTGGAAGCTTTTAAACAGAGGCTGGATGGCCATCTGTCGGGACCGCTTTGAATGCAATATTCCTGCTTCTTGGCAGGGGGTTGGACTGGATGGCCCACAAGGTCTCTTCCAACTCTAGGATTCTGTGTGGCTGATTCTGTGATACCCGGCCCTCACTCAGGGTCAATCTCTGAAATGGCTTGAAAGCACACAACAATAACAATCCTATTGTCGAAGGCTTTCATGGCCTCAGAGGTTGTGGGGTCTGTTGGAAGCTAGGCAAGTGGGGTTGATATATCTGTGGAATAATGTCCAGGGTGCGAGAAAGAACTCTTGTCTGCTGGAAGCAAGTGTGGCCAGCTTGATTACCATTTGATAGCCTTGTAGCTCAAAAGCCTGGCTGCTTGAGGCAAGTGTGAATCTTGTAATTGGCCAGCTTGATAGCCTTGCAGCTCAAAAGCCTGTCTGCTTCCTGCCAAGGGGAATCCTCTGTTTTGGAGGTGTTAGCTGGCCCCGATTGTTTAACATCTGGAGAAAGAACTCTTGTCTGTTTGAGGTAGGTGTGAATGTTCCAGTTGTTGTTCATTCGTTCAGTCGTCTCCAACTCTTTGTGACCTCATGGACCAGCCCACGCCAGAGCTCCCTGTCGGCCGTCACCACCCCCAGCCGTGTCGTGGCGCTGGAGCTTGAGCACCTCAATGATGTCATGAGCGAAACCGTGAAGGGTCACCCAAGACGGGACGGTCGTGGCAGAGAGGTCAGACCAAGCGTGATCCTTGGGGAAGGCAATGGCAAACCACCCCAGTATCCTTGCCAAGAAAACTAATTGTTCCAGCTAGCCACCTTGATTAGCATTTAATGACCTAGCAGTGTTAAAGGTCTGGCTCTTACTGCCTTGGGGAATCCTTTGTTGGGATAGTAAGAAGCCAGATCTTCCAAACTGCTAGGCCATTAAATGCTAATCAAGGCAGCCAATTGGAACATTCACACCCACCTCCAACAGACAAGAGTTCTTTCTCCCACCTTAGACAGGAAACACTGGAGCACTCTTGACAACCAGACTACAAAGAGAAGCCATTAATCTCCATGTGGACAAGCGTCAACAGAAAGGAGGAAATGATAAAAACGAACAAAATTAGGCATCTTGTATTAAAACAACGTCATTAACAAAAGAATAACACCAAAAATAAAACAAAACTGAGGATTACCAGTCAGGAAACAATCAGGGCCATGGGTCAGATTGATTAGCATTGAATAGCCTTGCAGCTTCAAAGCCTGGCTGCTTCCTGCCTTAGGGAATCCTGTGGTGGGAGGCTACCAGTATTTCAAAAAACCCCTCTCAAACTAAGGCCCGGGGGGCCAGATATGGCCCTCTAAAGTCACCTTCTTTGGAAACTTTTAAACAGAGGCTGGATGGCCATCTGTCGGGACCGCTTTGAATGCAATATTCCTGCTTCTTAGTAGGGGGTTGGACTGGATGGCCCACGAGGTCTCTTCCAACTATATGATTCTATGATTCAACTATATGATTCTATGATACCCGGCCCTCACTCAGGGTCAATCTAAGTCTGAAATTGCTTGAAAGCACACAACAACAACAATCCTATTGTCGGAAGGCTTTCATGCCCAAAATCACTGGGTTGTTGTAGGTTTTTTCGGGTTGTATGGCCATTGTCTAGAGGCATTCTCTCCTGACGTTTCGCCTGCATCTGTGGCAAGCATCCTCAGAGGTAGTGAGGTCTGTTGGAAGTAGGAAAATGGGTTTATATATCTGTGGAATGACCAGGGACAAAGGATTCTTGTCTGCTGGAACTAGGTGTGAATGTTTCAACTGACCACCTTGATTAGCATACAATGGCCTGACAGCGAGGTCTCTACCTCTGAGGATGCTTGCCATAGATGCAGGCGAAACGTCAGGAGAGAATGCCTCTAGACCATGGCCATACAGCCCGAAAAAAACTACAACAACCCAACAACAATCCTATTTCATCAGCCGAAAGCAGGCCCACACTTCCCATTGAAATACTGATAAGCTTATATTTGTTAAAATTGTTCTTTTAATTATTATATTGTTTTTAAGCGTGTGTTTGCACTACAAATAAAATGTATGCAGTGCGCATAGAAATTCATTCATTTTTTTTCCAAATTATAATCCGGCCCTCCAACAGTTGAAGGGACTATGACCTGGCCCTCTGTTTAAAAAGTTTGCTCTAGAATCAGAAGATCAATAATAATAAACTTTATTTATACCCTGCCACCATCTCCGCAAAGGAGACTCGGGGTGGCTTACATGAGGCCGGTAATACATAACAGCAAAATAAATACAAAATAACTAACATAGCATCACAATCAAACAAATAGAACATAAGAATAAAATAAAACAGTACAAAATCAAACAATGGATGGGCCAAATCTATGACATAAAATGATAAAACACTGGATGAACTAGGAATTAGATAGATAAATAGATAGATAGAGGAGGAGGTAGTAGGGGATGGACTGGTGGAGACAGGCCTTCTGAGAAACGGGTGGTGGTGGGGGCAATATGAGGACACATTGTGGGAGAGACGGAGGCACCTTCTTTGGAAGCTTTTAAACAGGCTGGATGGCCATCTGTTGAGGCTGCTTTGACTGCAATATTCCTGCTTCTTGGCAGGGGGTTGGACTGGATGGCCCACGAGGTCTCTTCCAACTATAGGATTCTATGAGACAACAGGAAAGAAATATATGGTCACTCCAAAGGCGCATCGGAAGAGCCAAGTTTTGAAGGCTGCTGGGGTGAGGGCTTGCCTAATCTCACCAGGTAGTGAGTCCCACAGCCTGGGGGCTACAGCGGAGAAGGCTCTCGCCCTTGTTCCCACAAGTTTCCCACAAGTTGTGCCTGTGATGGAGGAAGGGGTAAAAGGAGGGCCTCCCCCAAGGATCGAAGGGATCGTGCAGGTTTATGATAGATGAAATTCCAGACAGGAAACGACCAAGGCCAGCTAACACCTCCCAACAAAGGATTCTTCCAGGCAGGAAGCAGCCAGGCTCTATTTATTTATTTATTTCGCACATTTCTACCCCGCCCTTCTCAACCCCCGAGGGGGGACTCTGGGCGGCTTACAAAAGGCACAATTCGATGCCAACAACAACAATAAAATAAAACATGTATCAAAAGCAATTATAAACAATTAAAACAATCAAGTTATATATCACAATGAATAGAACCAATCTAATGTTCAACGTTCGCCAGCTCAGAATCCATAAATTCATTCCACATTGTCAAATCCTATTAATTCTAGTCGTCATTGTCCTTTGTCTATCTGCCTGGTCCCATATCCATGTTTTTAGTTTCCTTCCGAAAGAGAGGAGGGATGTCGATGATCTGATTTCCCCGGGAAGTGAATTCCGCAGGCGAAGGGCCACCACCGAGAAGGCCCTGCTCCTCGTCCCCACCAATCTCACTTGTGATAGAGGTGGAGCCGAGAGCAGGGCCTCCCCAGAAGATCTTAAACTCTGAAGCGGGACGTAGAAGGAGATGCGTTCGGACAGGCACGCTGGGCCGGAGCCGTATAGGGTTTTGTAGGTCAAAACCAGCACTTTGAAGCTGCAAGGCCATGCAGTGCTAATCAAAAGAGGCCAGTTGCAACATTCACACTTGCTGCCAACAGACAAGAGTTCTTTTTTCCACCCTGGACATTTTACAGATGTATAAACCCCACTTGCCTAGTTTCCAACAGATCTCCCAACTTCTGAGTATGCCTGCCATAAGTGTGGGTGAAACGTCAGGAGAGAATGCTTCTGGAATATACAGCCTGGGAAAACTCACAACCTCAAGGATGCCTGGTATAGATGTGGCCAAACATCAGGAGAGAATGCTTTTGGAACATAGCCATACCGCCCAGAAAACTCACAGCAACCCAGTGATTCTAGTCATGAAAGCCTTGGACAACACACCAGTCCCTCACGTTTGCTGAGACTCAAGAGCCCAACTGCCCTACTTTCTTCTCCTTGGTTCTGCTTCTTTAAGAATGAAGAAAGGGACCCAGGAGC